TATGCGAGCCTAATGAGCATAGATTTAGTAGACTCTGGGTCTTAGGCTTCATTATCCACAACACAGTGTACCCATCTCAGTCCCTGACCATGTGCTAGTCATCCCAGATAAACTCCACTCAGACTGAAAAGGTTTTATTAATTATTGTTTACCCCAGAACACTTTTCAAGATTTCTATCAATCCTAGCCCTTCTTTAAATAAATCAAATAAAGTTGTTTTCTGAGCCATCCAATTTTGGGCACAATATACATTATTGGTAGGAACTCAGAGTCCAGATCTAGAAATTCTCTCAGCCAAAGACTTGCCCTGTAATCTTGAGGGGTTGCTTTCCTGGCTAGAAAGGAGCCTTAGACATGAAGGTATCCATTGCCGTCTCAGCTCTTCACTCTAGCTGTGTGACCAAACAAGCCTTTTAGCCTCTCGGAACCTGTTTCCTCATTTGTAAAATGGCATTATTTTCACTTTCTGTCTCCCAGCAAGATTGTGAGGTCTGGTGAAGACAAAGCACCCTGAAAGTGCTTGACATGCCTCCAGTTGCTTTCAGCTCTTCCCCAAACATGACACTGGGGTTGGGGGCAATCTTCCATGCCCCCAAAAATACCACTACCCCCTCCACAGCCAAATGAACCACAACAGATCCCTTCTGACATTTGTAGGGCAAGAGAACCAATGGATGCCCAATTCCTATATGCTGTGGAATGAGGAGTCAGTAACTCCAGAGTTGGCAAAGCCCCAACATGACAGAACAGTGTATAGAAAAGAAAAGGCTAACAAACACAGCCATTTGCAAGTCTTCCAGTCAGTAGCTGACGATCTCAGCCTATGGCTGCCATCAGCTGTGGAGTGAGAAAGTGAGCCCTCACTTGATCACACCCCCTGGCCTTCACCAGCCAGGTGATCCTGAGTGAAGCAGAAAGGAGCCCTTCCTCAGCGTCCTGCCCACACTGCAGATCAAATGTGTGTAAATGTTGTTGTTGTTGTTGAAGTCGCTAAGTTTTGGAGTCACATTTCATGCAACCATAGTAACTTGAACGAAGGTATGCGCTAAATCAAACAGATTCTCTCTCCCTGGAGTGTAAACTGGCGCTTCTGAGAATTAGGGAGTTAACAGGAGACAAGTGGTTAAACCCAGAGAAGCGGGAGAGAAGATCCAGCTGAATCACATTCGTGACAGATGATTGATCCTGGAATAACAGGAGTGCGGGCCTCGAGTGACTGATGCAAGACGACCCAGTTCCTGAGGTCAGCAGCGGGACACGGCCAGCCCTGAGGTCTGCCAGGTTTCTCCCGGCAGGGAAGGAGGGAGAGTGGAGGCAGGAGACAGGCTGCTTTATTGAGATCTTTTTTTTTTTTTAACTTCTCTCCCTGTGTTCTACCCTCCCTCTTGCCCAGAGGAGAAACCCAGCCCTCTGTTCACTCACTCAGACCTCTGGGGAAGTTTGTGGGAAAAGGAGAAATTGCTGGCAGAGCTCCCTTGTCCTCACTTGTGAGCAGGTGCGTGAGATGGGGCCCAAAAAAACCAGGAGGGTCGGAGAAAGGCTTGGGGGGAATTAAGGGGCAGGTAGTGCTTGGCAGGGCTGGGTTTGGAGGGCCAGAGGGCAGGGAAGGGAGGGAGAAGCAGAGAGCGCCAAGGTAGGAGAAACCAGCCTGGGCAGACAGCCGTGTCACGTGTGGGCCCTGTGTCCTGGCACGTATACGTGCCTGTGCACAAGTGAGTTTGTACCTGTGTGTGCCAAGATGTGCCTGTGACCAGACCTGCCTGTGAAACAGCTCATGCCACAGACCGTGGGCATGTCTGGGTCTGTCCACCTCAGCTTACACGTCTCTGCAAGTACAGGCCAGGGAATAAAGGAGGTGCCTGTGACTGGACCAGAGCCCAGGTCTGGGGAAACTGGGTAAGAGAGGCCAGGTGCCAGCAGCGAGGCAAGAGCAGCCCTCACCGGCCTGGCCAGGTGTCATCTGGTGCCCAGTACACAGGGGACACATCAAAGGAGCAGTCCACATGGGCGCTAGAAGTGCAGGCTCCCAACTCAAGGGGCTCATTGGTACCAGAATCACCAAATCAACTTGAGAATCTGACTCTCTGCCCCTTTAGAAGCCAAATTAACTCCTGCCAGTGGGCTGAGGGCATGCTGGGCTCCCCTGCCCACTTCTCTTGAGACTATTCCTTTGTAACAGGGTTCCAGGGTAGGGCCATTTCATCCCCCTGTCCAGGGCTCCAGGGAGGACTTGAGTGCAGAGCTGTTATTCCACCCAAGTTCTCTAGAGAGGGCAGGATAGGATTTTGGAGGTAGGGAGGAAGTGGTTGGGGGTTCCTCCTCCAGGAAATCTTCTTAGATTTCTGAGCAACCTGAGGATGCAACATCTCAACCCCAAGGTCCCCGATTCTGTCTCAGACCAGGCTGTGTCTTGCTTTCGAATTCCCCAAACACTTCCTGAACACAAACTTCATGCCAGGTATCCTTTTCTCTCTGAAGGGCCCCTGGCTGACTGCCCATTTCTCCAGTGCCCAACATCCACTTTGCATTTTCATTTCCTACTCCAAGACAGACTGCCAAGTGTGGCACATCACTACAATTTCCCTGCTCTCCGCCCTTCCAGATGAACACACAGGCCCTCCCATTCCTGAGGCCTTTTCTGTTAATACCCTGGGAAAAGCTGAACAGAAGTTGTAGGTGAAGTGGGGGACACGACTGAGCCACGCTGGCTATCACATACCCCAGGGAGCTGGCAAGGAAAGAGGCTAGTGCCTACATCAGTTTGGGGTACATGGAAAGGACCTCACAATACAGGAGCCACTAGGGGGCAGACTAAGCCTGCCGGACCACTGGTTCATTAGGGGGCCTTCTTGGGAGCAAAGTGTCTGTAGGTGGGAAGAAGACTGTGCAAAGGTCCACTTGGGGACAGGTGAGAGCATCCCTGGGGTGGGAGAGAAGCGCAAGGGAGAAGATGGCTCACAAGCCCTCACAAGCATACACAGGTAGTGGGTTGGAGGAATCCACGTGTGACAAGACCCAGGAGATCTTGGTAAGGAGGGATCAGCATGTCGTGGGAGCAGCGGTGTTGAGAACAAAAAGAACAAGTCATTGGGGAGTCCTTAGGCATGATGTCCTGGGGCAACTTGAGTGGGGAAGATAAGACAAAGTGTCTTGGAGCACAGGAATCCCTCCAGCTTCCTAACAACACCTCAGTTCTCTAGGTCTTGGGGAGGGACAGCTGGAGTTTAACCCCCTCCCAGAACCTCCCCCTCTGGGGTGCTGTCCCCAGACCACCCCAGCCCAGGCATGTAACCATGACTTGGGTCTATGACAACATAATCTCCACTGTTGCTTCAGCTGGTTTGAATTGTTTATCACTTGAACCTACAGCTGTGAACTAGTTTTTAAAATGGCGCCCGTTCTTTGCTCAAGAAATATCCATGGCTCTGGATTATTCAGGGGTTAAAATGCACTCTCAATCTGACCTTCAAGACTCCAACCTCCTCCTCCATCATTATAAACCACCACGGCTCAGATGCAACCTTTTCCGTGGATGCGGTAGATGGAAAAGTCCTCTTATGCAGGAAACTGGGGGCTCTGAAAATGACTGGCAGCATCATTTCCTCTGAGGGGACTCCCTGAATAAGTTCTACTCTGTGCCACCCTCTGATTATTCCTCTGTCTTCTCCATTAGGCTGTGAGTCCCTTGAGAGTGCATTTGGCCCAAGCCTGCACACTGAGAGCACATAATGTCTACGCAAGAATAAGTGAAAGGCCCTCTGTGGGCACGGTTTGCCCTGCCTAAGCTCAAGCAGGCCTCTTTGGAGCTGACTTCAGATTCTTGGCCTGGTTCCCATTAGAGAAGAGGGGCTACTGCCTGGAGAAACCTCATCCAAGGTGACCCCGAGGATCAGGTTTGTATCCACTTGATTGACCACCAGGGATCTCTGTCCAGCTCCTCCACTCCTTTCCCAACAAGAGACCTGTTGTCCTCAGTTCCTGAAGGAAAGAGTTAGGAAGATTGAGTGAGCAGCATGGAAAGCTTTAATCAGAGAAAGACAGAGATGCAGAGAAGCACATGCAGGGACAGAGACCGAGTAACTGACACACACAACACTCGTGACAGAGACACAGCAGATCAAGAACAGAACCTGGAGGCCAGAGAGACCAAAGTGGAGAGCAGGGCAGGGGCAGGTGGGGAATGGCAAATCCAGAGAGCATCTGAGGGCCCTCAGTTCTGACTGGTCCCTGCACCCCATCGCCAGAAACATGAAGGCCATTCTTGCTCACCACTCAAGTCCAGCCATTAGGCAAGGCTTGTCCATCCTCCTGCTGCAAGATACCTGGAATCTGTCTAACCTCCTCCATCCTCTTATCTCCTTTCTGGATGAGTGCAGCAGCCTCTGTAGTTTTCCTGCCTCTTGCACTGCCCCTGACCCAATCTGTTAGTCAACAGGAAATTTCTAAACAGATATATGAATGTATCATCTTCACAGCCCCCAGAAAAAAAGCCCAGGTACTTTCCCTGACTCACACGGCTCTGCTTGATGTGAGCCCTGCACATCACCTGAGCCTTAACCTCCAGCCTTTGTGGACTTTTCCCAATAGTGTGTTCTGGGAACCTGCCGCTGTTCTCTCTACCTAGACACTCCGTACCATTCTGCCCCCTCCCCAGTCTCTGTCCTCACTCCACCATCTCACCTTGATCTCAATGTCCAGGGTTCCTTCCTCAGGGCCAGCCACTCCCTTACCTTCAGAGAACTTTCACCCTGTCTCTTCCCAACCTGGAGCTCCACCCCAGGTTTTACTTGAGACTCCAGGCCCGGCTGCCTTCACTCATACCCTGTCTTTCTACCTGCTCCTGTCCTTGGTTCCTCAGTCCAGGCTCACCAGTCCTCATCCATGCCCTCAGGCCCTTGGCATTCCAGTCTCTGGCCCCTCATGCTATGTACTTCTTCTTCTTCTTCTTCTTCTTCTTCTTCTTCTTCTTCTTTTTTTTTTTTTTGCTATTACAAAAGTTTATTTAACAAAAAGTTCAGTAAGAAAATGTACATGACCCAATTTTTATATCATAGTAAAAAGATGCTGTGGAAGCGGACATGGGGAAGCAACTGATTTCTCTGGCGAACACAGCCACTGCTTATACTCGGTCCAAGGCTTCTAACATGATGATACTATTTCCTTGTATTACCACCATTCCAATATTGTTCTGTTGCCCACTAGTTGCCATCTCCACACACTCATCTATCACAAGATTCACAAAGGGGTCAAATCCCCGTAGTATTCCTTGGACATGTCTGCCACCATTTAATTTCAATGATAACTTTTTGTCCATAATTTTTTTCAACTCGGGAGGGTGAGCTTTGCTCATGGTGTCTACTCCCTGGGCTCAGAGCTGCCACCACACGAAATCTTTTTTTTTTTTTTTAATGTACTTTTTTCTTTTTAGGCTATGTTCCTTCCTACATTTTCCATTTGTCTTTTGTCCAGTGGTTGGCACCTGTCCCCAGGTCACTGGTGCGCTTTACCCCCATTTACAGAGAGCTCAAAGTGCCTGGGGGCTTAAGCCTCATCCCCCAGGAGAGTCCTTAGCCTGGTTGACTAGTGTGACAGTGTCAGTCCAGCCCCCGAACCCTTCTTTTGGACAACTCAGAGATCCCCAATGTCTAGAACATCAAGATAGCACATAAGGGCACACAACACATGTTTGTTGAATGTATATATAGGTAGTCAATCTTATCCTTTTTGAATTTCTGGAATTTTTATCAATTTTAGGCCCTTCCCATTCAAGATAAAAATATCTCTATATGTTCTGGTATATTTATATATGAATTTTTTTTTTAATTTGAGGCATCTTGATATAAAACGAATGCAAGAATGTGTTTTGTCCTCATGTCTAATCAATTGTCCCCGTAGCAATTCTTGAATCTTTATTCATCTCTAAAATCAAGATGCTATCTTATCTAGGACTCATTCAGTGAGGTATTTTGCAATCATTTAAATTGGTAGTTATAATGATTATGTCACTGTGGAAAAAATGCTCATCTTATCATTTTAACCTTCGGATTTTTATTGCTGCATTAAAACTGTATCAACATATAGGCAGGGGCAGGGAGAAATGGAGAGAAATGGATAAAAATTTTCAGGACTGTGATGGGACTATGGGTGAGTTTTTTTCATCTCTATTCATATCTGTGAAATAAATATATTGAAACTTGAAATGAATAGAGTATAGAAGGAGTTAAAAGATAGCAAGCTATTTTCTGCTTGAACCTGAAACAAAAACTTGGGTGAAGAAAGGTTTTTGGGGGGAGGGAGGGTGACCTCAAGAAGTTGAAGACTGTGGAGAATGCAGGTAAGGGAAAATTGTCACTGTGGGGTCCTGGAGAGCCATTATTGCAGGAACAGTCAAACAGGAGAGACCCTATGAAAATCACTTCCTTTGGCTCTGTATCCCTGAACTGTGAACTTCCCAGCCTGAGTTAGCAGAACCTCTGGATGTTTCCTACCCAAAAGAAATCCAGGCATCAAGCATGTGGTTGGATGAGTCCAAGCGTTCCCATAACCGGCCCTTGCTAATGGGATGCTTCATCCCCCGGACACCAGGAATGCTTATATAGGAATGTAGTTATACGCTAAGAATTAGAGGAGAACCATATTTCCCAATACAGCTATCTCTAGAAGGTCCCTCTCTAACCCCTTAGAATTCAGTAGTTTATAAAGTTGAATCCAGAGAAGCGTTTAATTTGCTAGCACCTGGACCAACCATACAAAGGTGAAGAGCATTAGAAGTTGGGACAAGGGAATTGTGGGTGCCATAGAGGCTGTTCTATGCTTGGGAAGTCAGGAAGGGCACGCCCTGGAGCTTGGACTACTCAACCTACACTAGAGCTTGCCTTTCTAACCACAGGGGAGACTTCACATCAACCTTGGCTGGCTGCCCAAGGAAACTCACTGAGGCCCCAAAGGTGCTGTCTGAAAGGCAGCTACTGACCCCAAGGCAACTGGTAACTTGCACAGAGCCAGGAAGTCATCTGAGGTCTAGATGTGGATTTGGGAATAAAACACCTACATCTTGCCTAGCAATTGCTTTTTATAGCAGCTCCCCTGAAGCGCTTTCTCGCCTGGGTCACAGGAGCCTTGCCCCAGGGCTGTCTACAGCAAAGGCACCCCTAACCCTGATGTCTTTTGTCCAATGGTTGGCACCTGTCTCCAGCTGTCCCCAGGTGTCTCCGATTTGTCCGAAAGAAGGGTTGGGGGCTGGACTCACACTCTCACACGAGTCAGCCAGGCTCAGGGCTCTCCTGGGGAGGATGGGATTTAAGCCCCCAGGCACTCTGGGCTCTCTGTGAATGGGGGGAAAGCACCCCAGTGACACCTGGGGACACCTGGAGGTGTGTGGCTGCCAGAGGCCTTTCAGCAGGAGTACTTCGAAACTTCGGCGAGGTTCGGTGATAACCCTGGTGAGCAGGCGCCTGGCTGCTACCAGCTGCAGACCCCAGAGGATGTGGAGCCTGGAGAACGACCCCACCGGCCTCACCTGTGGAAGCCACGACGCGGCCGGACTTACAAGGCCTGAAATGCGCGCGCAACCTGGCTGGGGTGGCATGCGCCCTGCGCTGCAGCCCGCCCACTCAGCCCGGCCCACGACGTCACGCCCGCAGCCCCACCCAGGCCCCCCTGATTGGTGGGGGGCCGAGCGAGCGCGAGCGCCCCGCCCCGGATCCGCCCCCCTGCGGCCCCGCCCCGCCCCCGGGCCCACGGCGCTGCCAATGTGGCTTCCAAGTTGGAGAGAGAAGGCGCGGGCGCCAAAGGGTTCAGAGCCTGCGAGGCCCAGGGGCCGCTTTCCCGTCTGGCCGGCGCCCCACCTTGGAAACACAGCCCCTCACCAGCTCGGCCCGTCACGGGCCAAGTCCTCCCTTCAGTTCTCGACGGGCGCGCTCGGCCCGGTTCACGGCAGAACATTCGGAAATGCCCAGGCCCCCTCGCTGCCCGCACCGCCCACGTGCCAAGGGGCCGGGCGTCGAGCCCACGCGAGGCTGAGGCGCGTTCGGCCGGCACCCCACCCTGGGGCTCCGGCCCCCTCGGAACCCCCCTCCTGAACCTCGGTCGCTCCTGCGCCCCGAACCCGGACCCTCCGGCATTCTCCACACCATCCGCCGCCCTGTACACCCCGGCGGTCCCCGAATCTTCTCACCCGTGTTCCTCCTCACACCAGCACTCTGGGAGCCCCGCGGACCAGCGAGGGGTCGGGGCCCCTCCTTGGAAGCCTGTCTCTCCTCAGACCGCTGCCCTCCGCGCCCGCGCTCCACAGTCCTCGGTGCCCGCACCTGGACGCCCCTCCTCAGAGGCGCCCCACAGGACGCCGTCCCCGGACCCGCTCCCGCACCCCACTCCGCACACCCCTCCGGACCCACACGCACACCCGCGGGGCCATGCCTGTGCCCTCGGCGCCCCTCACTCCAGTCTTCGTCCAGACTCCTGCCCACCTCCCTTCCACCCCTGCCCCTCACCCCCACTCAGCCCAGGGCCCCAGACACCCCCAAACACTCCAGGACCCTGACGTGCACCGACAGAGCAATTCTGGAATCCCCCACATCCCAAACCCTTCACACCCCCCCTCATTTGCCCAAGACACCCAAACCCGCCGCGCGCGCCGTCTACCCCCACCCTCCCCTCGCCGCCTCCGTGCCACCCCGCACCCCTCTCCCCCCAGGGCGGGCAGGCCGCGCCGGCGGCGGCGGAGGCCGGTCCCCGGGCAGGGACACACCCACCCGCCCGCCCTCCGTCTCTCCCTCGCGCCCTCCCTCATCCCTCCCTCTCTCCCGCCCTCGCTCCGCACTCGCTCCTTCCCCCTCGCCCGCTCCGGCTTCCCGCGGCGCCCGGCCTCCCGCTCCGCCTCCCCGAGCGCGGCTTTCCCGGGCGCGGCTCCGGGGTTCATGGTGACGAGGCGGCGGCCGCTCGAGCCCAGCGGCGGCGGCGGCGGGAGCTGGGGCGCGGGCCAGGGCCGCCACTCCCCGAGCGCGGGGCCGGGCGGCGGGCGCGCCCAGGCGGCGGCGGCGAGCGCCCCCACGGCCCGCGGCCCCGCGCGCCCCCCGCGCCGCGCCCCCGCGCGCCTGGCTGGCGGGGGGCCGGGCCGGCGGGCGGCCGCCGCGCCGCGCACCCATGGACGGCCCGGCCATCATCACCCAGGTGACCAACCCCAAGGAGGACGAGGGCCGCGCGCCGGGCTCCGGAGAAAAAGGTGAGGAGGAGCGCGGGCGGGCGGGCGGCGGGGGACGGGGGACGGGGGCACACCCCGGGACGCCGGAGTTTGCCGCCGGGAGCTGGCTCAGGCCTGGGGGAGGGGTGCGCCGGGCGAGAGGGTGCGTGGGTGTGGGGGTGCGCCCGAGGGGAGGCTGTGAGTGTGCCTGTGCCTGAGCCGGCGGAGTGCGGGTGAGGGTGGGAGTATGGGGGTGTGTGTGTGCATCTCTCGAGGGGCCATGAGTGTGTGGGGGTGACCCTGACAGCCTGTGAGTTTGTGATTGACATGGAGAAGTTGAGCTTGTTTGCTCCAGACAGGTTGTGAGTGCGTATGCCCTGGTGGGTTTTGTGGGTACAGGAGAGAGGTGATCAGGGTGTGTGTGCACATGACAGGTTGTGGGGTGTGAGTGTGTGCACTTACATGTTGTGTGCACACATGCCAACCGTGAGATTAAAAGGGTTTGGGTGCACTCAACAGAGAGGTGTGAGCATGTTTCTTCCCAAGGCTGTGAGTTGGTGTTTGTCCCTTATGTAGAGGTTCCTATGTACCTGAGAGGCTGTGGAGTGTGTGCATGTCCACTAGCTGGGAGAGTGTATCTGTGTACGCTCACACACAGCCTGTGTGCATTCCTGTGCGCCTGACCGCAAGCCTGTGTGTGCACATGCGTGCGGCCGACAGTGTGGCTAAGTGCCTGCCTGTGTTGGTTGTGCTGGAGGGAAGGGACTGTGCTAAGCCACCCCTCTCCGCTTCTGGGCTCTTCTTGCCTATTTTAGTGCCACAGCCTGCTGGGAGCTTCTGCAAGGCCTGGTTTTCCCTGAACGCTTTTAGGACCCATCTCTAATGGACCCTCCCAGAGCCCTTAGGGTGCCAGGTGTGTCTCTTCCCAAGAGCTGACCAAGGGCTGAACTGGCACTGCACTGCAGCGCCTGGTTTGATTTGGGCACATTTTGGCCCCATCACTTTCTTCTGTTTCCTTCTTGTTCTTGTTCTTTGTGTCTGCCCCTTTCTGAGGCTTGATGTCCCCTCTCTCAAGTTCGCTGCTTACTGTCCCTCTCGTGAGCTGTCCTGAGACTTGGTCAGACTGTTTTGCAGTGCTAAGTACTTGTTTTGGTGACTAACTCTTGTCCCCCCCCCCCCCGTTGTACCCCTCAAACACTTGGGCTGAGGTCAATAGCATCCTACTGGGTCCTCCTCCGCTTTCCAGGCCTGGCCTGGTCACAGCGGGCTTTGGGGAAAGAGTCAGATTCTTGTCATGTGTTATTGCCCTTGCTGTGCCATTGGGGTGAGGTGTGCAGTCCGTCTGAGAAAGCGGGCTGGGAGTGAGGGTATTGCGCTGCTGCTCCCATGCAGGGACCACTGGACAGCCCACTAGGAAAATGTGGGACGCCATCAGTGGTACCCTTAGATTTGGGTATATGACAGCACTTGTACTTTTATGGACTTTGCATATACAAACTTGGTTTCTTTTACATAAAATTGGCATTCAAACTCCCCTGTGCCTTACAAATGGGCTAAAAAATTTCTGTGAGCTTGTGCTCCAGGTGAATCTCCTTGTCTTCTTGGGCCCAGGTGGGCGGTGCTTAGGGGGTCTGGCCTTCTGGCTATAGGGCCTATCAGTTCTTGGGGCCTAGGCCTGCATATTCTCGTGGGTTGGCCCATCAGGGACAGTAGGCTTCAAGGAGGTTGAATCCTGTGCTCCTCCATTGCTGTGGATATGCTTGTGTGACGCTTGGCCTTTGAGAATATCCACACTTGTGAGGAGAGGTGTGGCAAGGAAAGCAAGGAAATGTGTGGCAGGGCCTCAGCCAGGCTGCTGCTGGGACCTACCTCCAGGAGCTGGAGCCTTTTCTTCCCACTGCTAGGCCTTTGAAAGCAAAGTGAATTTATCCAAAACCCAAACAAACCATGTACAAATACTCGAGAATGGTGCTTGTTCTTTTCAACTTGTTTACATTATTTTTCGTGACAATCTTTTATTATCTTATACAGCTTATATTATTTGTTTTCTAGTGTCAGATTGGCTGGTTGCTAACTGGGGAATTCTTTTCCTGTTGCTATGGGGTAGGGTGGCTAGCTGGTGGGTCCTCTGCCGAAGCATTAAATCCCCGGTTTTAGTTTTTCCCACTTGAAAGCATTAGTTTTCCACTTTGAAAAATGGAGGTAATTTTGGTTAACTGTAATATGGCAATAAGCTTTAGAGCCAAACTTCGGAATAACTTCATCAGACTCCTAAGCCACTAAACAGGTTCAGCAGTGTTTCCAGCTTAAGCATGTCGATGTCTCTGGATAGGCACAATGTATTTTACATAATTTTAATTTTAGATAAACTTAATCATTTCATGTCTAAGTACGGGGCCTGGAAAGTTGTATGCTTTAGTGGTGGGGAAAAAAATTACTGTTTTTACATTTTACTTTCATCATTTATTCTGTAAAAAAGGAAGATAATGATTGCTTGTTGGGCTGGACGAGAGGGTTAAATGGGGTGATGCAGTTTAAGGACTCTGCCTGGCTCACCGGTGTCCCTCTCTTCTATAAACCTTTAAGGAGTAGATTTGCAAAGGTAGTACTAAGCATAGACATGGTGTTTTGCACAATTTGAATTACTTCTTGACATATTGCCATGTGATAATGCACCCCTTGGGGATGACTGTCACCATCAGCATGACCTGTCACAGAAGCTTTATTTCTTTTGGTTATGTTTGATTTGATTACTTGTGTAAAGATAAGGAGACAAATTTGCCTCTAAGTTTCATTCAGCCTGTTTTACTGTCTGGGAATGTATGTACTCTTACAAATCAATAAGTCAAACAGGACAGTAGAAAAGTTGATAAGAGATATGAATGAGAAAATCATTAAAGAGGAACTCTGAATGGCCACTATATCAATATATGAAATGACAGCACTTTACATGAAACATTTTCATGCTCCTGTGTCAGCTTGGTTAAACATTTCAGTGACTGACAAAGTAAGTAAAAGTTTTGGGAAATGGATACCCTTACAGATTTTTTTTAAAGATTTACTTATTTATGCATGTAAGAGCTGGCGTACAGGCCAGAGATGCAGGGAGTGAGAGGATTCACCAGAGTGGGGAACAGAACAGGTAGACTGACTGAAATACATTGCTGAGGGGAGCAGTGGGTGAGACAGGAGAGGTCTGCTGCGCCATGTGGGTTTCTCCCTGGCCGGTCGGGGATTGAACATGTGCTACAGAGGCTGCGGATTGCTTCATGGTGCGGTGCTTAACCCCTTGCGCCACCAGGGAGGCCCCTCTTATAGATTTTTGTGAAAGAATCAAGTGAGTACAGACAAGTTTTTATGGAATAGTTTATTACTGAATCACTCAGGAACTCATTTAGCTGTAAGTAACAGAAAACCAGTCTTATATTTCAGCTTAAACCAAGAAGAGTTTGTTCTTATAACACGCAGTCTGGAGGTAGGTTGCTGCTGGCTCTGGTTCAGCAGCTTATTGATAGTAGGACTGACATAACTGTGGTTCTCTTGGCTTTCCTTCATGCTGTAACCTGGCTCCTACCCCTCCAAATATCACAGGCTCCTTCAGGGAAGGAAAAAGGTGCAATGCCAGTCATATCTACACTTCTGCCTGGAAAGCAGAAACATTCTTAGGCCCCATCCAACAAACTTTTGCTGATGTTTAATTGACCAGAGCTGAGTCCCAAGGCCATCACAGCTGTAAGTAGTGAGTGTCCAGCCTTCCAGCCTTTGTGGTCATGAGGCAGGAGGGGAGAAGATGATCAGAAATGAGTGGCAACAGGTATTGGTTGAGCCAGTCAACAGTGTGGGCCTCACCTTCAGTGCCCCAGTTCTGCTTCTGGGTTTCAGTCCTAGAGAAATACCCTCATTTGAGCTCAGAGAAACATGCAGAATTTTCACTGATGGCTGCATTGCTTGCAGTAGCAAATATTGGAACCATTGTAGTATCAGCAGGAAAACAGATGAGGGTCGCAGCGATACCACAGAATACTGCAAGACAATTGAAAAGAATAAGTTAAATATAGATCTAAATATATTGACATGTAAATTTGAAAGGGGGAAAAAGAAATTGGAGCCATCCCATCTTTGTGGGGGGAAATTAGATACATAAAACTGTATAGCTGTCTAGAAACACAAAAAATAATCTGGAGGAAATACTTCATATTGATAACAGCTATCTCTGAGGAGAAGACGAATGGAAGTGAGGGAACTTTGCCTTTTTGTGTAAATATTAATGAAAATGTCCTTGTTTTACAGATAAAAAATTTTTGACATAAAAAAGAGATTTTCCATAGCTGATTGGAGGGAAATAACTAATTTAAGGGAATTGAATAATAATAAAACAAGCAAAAATCTCAATTAATATGCAATGAACATTTCAACTCTAAACAGTTAATTATTTTGTAAGCTGATACACATCCCTTGATGAGATTTCTGAAGGCAAGTTTGTTTTGAAAGATATTTTGGCCCAAAATGCTAGGTATGTTTCCCCCAAATGTTTGCAACACTTAGATCAACTCAGAAACCTTTAACCTTTGGACTGCTAACAAAATTACAGCAAAGAGAATGCTTTTGGAAGCAATAGTTGTTTCAGATGCCAGAACAGATCTGAAGTTGATTCAGACTGATTAACTATTTTAAATTAAGCTTTTCATGGAGTTAACTGTAGATTTACTTGCAGTTGTAAGAAATCATAGATACCCTCTGTCCCCTTTAACCTGCTCCCCCACCCATTTAACATCCTGCAAAACCTAGTGCAATATCACAATTGGGCTATGGATACTGGCATAGTGAAGTTACAGAAAAAGTCCATTATTAGGAAGATGCCTCAGGGTACCCCTTTATAACCACACCCACTTCCCTCCCATCCCTGTCCCCCACTTAGTGCATTGACAACCACTAGTCTGTTCTTCATTTCTACATTGTTTAGCTGTTGTCATTTGGGGATTATATATAAATGGAATCAAACAATATGTGATTTGGGAGTAGACTTTTTCATGTAGCATAAC